TAACTTAACAGTATGTTCTGGAGATTACGTCACACCAAGAGAGGTACCAGCTGAACACAAGTGAGGTCCCAAATGAGGTTCACTACTACCCTTACTTTCTGCACTTAATACAAGATTCTTCCTTTTCTACTGTGTATATGTTTAAATACTTAATGAGTGACTGCTACTTTTTTCAATAAAGAAAGACAAAGAATCCAAACCTCTAACCCTAACCAAACTAAGGCTGTCAAAAACTCGTGTTTGGGAGCCAAAGGGAACCCACTGGGCCCGGGGGCCCCTGGCTACTGGCAGTCTCTGTGTCCTGCCAGCCAGGGGCTCAGGGCAGGGCTGCCCTGGCCTGGACCTGGAGCCTGTCGTGTCCAGGCTCAGGGAGGGTGAGGATGACATTCTGGTGTGTGGTGCCGAAGCCCAGCTCCAGTCTGTTCCCGCCCTGGCGGGAAGATTGGCACTGCCAACACTCCCGTCCCATCTGCTGGGAGACGTGGGCCCAGTCTGTCTCCCTGGTGGCCGGGGGCGGCCATCTGGGGTGGGCCAGCCAGCTGGCTTGGAAAACAGCCTGGGCCCCTTGTTCTGGCCCCCGAGACACAAGTGCGTGACAGGAGAAGGACAGAAAGAACTCTGTCTGGGAGCTTGACCTTCACTCCCCAGCATGGCCCTCTGACCTCTCGGGAAAGAGGGACAGCCACAACCTCAGCGTCATCACAGAACCTTCCGCTCAGAGCACTCGCTAGCCTGCAGCTGTGTGCTACCAACTCCCGTGTGCGGGTCCAGGGGAACCTTCCCGCCTTTCCTGGAGACAGCACACAGACAGTGTAGGTCTATTTCACAGACGAAGAAATGGAGGCGTCCAGGGGTAAAACTGTCTGCCTAAGGTCACAAGGCTGGTAAGTGGCAGAGCTCAACCGAACCCCACGCTGTCTGTTCACAGGGCCAGGGTTCAAACTCAGCCCCACAGCGAGTGGTGAGTGGTTAGAGGTTAACAGCATGGACTGGAGACGCAGGCAGTCTGGGTTCCTATCCTGGCTCTGCCACTGTGGACCCTGACAAGTGATTGTTTCCCTAGACCTTGAAAATCCTCATCTGTAGAATGGGGATCATGGAACCCACATCAAGGGACTACCGAGAGGATGTGAAAGCTCAATGAATATAAAACACTTGCAACAGCACATGTCAGGAATATGCACTACAAGTGTTAACTGTTCTTATTACTACTGTCCTTACTACTTTTGGGTTATGTGACTCCTTTGCTGCCACGGCAGGAAGGGCCTTTGCTTGTTTTTTTTAATTAAAAAATATATTTACTTGGCTGTGTTGGCTCTTAGTTGTGGCATGTGGGATCTAGTTCCCTGACCAGGAATCGAATCAAGGCTCCCTGCATTGGGAGTGTGGAGTCTTCGCCAGTGGACCCCCAGGTAAGTCCCAGGAAGGGCCTTTGGAAGGAGCAAGGCAAACCTTGCTGGCCTCTGCCCCTTCCTCCAGATGACAAGGTCCTCAGGCCTGGGTGTCCAACAGGCAGCTCTGTGAGGGGCTGGGCCCAGGACTGAATACCCATGTGGCCTGCACATGTGTGAGGTCAGAGAAAGGCCCATCTGTGGCTGTGAACCTCACGCTGGGCCAAAATTAACAGGGATGATTGGAATGTGACAAAGGGATGGGAAACTGAGGCCCCTGCCAAAGGCTAACTGTGGGCTCTCCCCAAGGGCCAGGCCCAGCACTGCCTACTTTATATGGGCAACCTCACCAAGCCTACGCCACAGTCCTAAGAGACTGGGATCCCACGGAGGGAACGGAAGCTCTGAGAGAAATCGTCCAAGGTTTCACAACCACTAAGTGACTGTACCAGGCAGTTTCCTGCCTCAGGACCTTTGCACAGGTTGCTCCCTCCACCTGGAGCATTCTTCACATGTCCCCACGGCTCCTTCTCTCATCTTCTTTAGGCCTTTTACTCAAATGTTCTCTTCTGAGTGACACCGCCCTTGACTATCTTGTCTAAAAATCTTACCACACCCACACTTATCTCTTCCTTGCTTTCTGTTCCACCTTGTCATCATATACCACAATGTATAATTTACTAGGCTATCTATGTATTGTCTGCCCTCCCCACGGTCCCATGAGCATCTCTGCTACATTTACTGCAGGTTCCTCAGTGCCCAGTGCAGGGCTGGCTGCTGGTGGTGCTGAGTGAATCTCTGTCGAGTGGAGGAACTCCACACCTGCGTCCCTGAGCTCCAAGGACCCTACGTCCAGCCTGGGGGCACTCAGAGGCTAGTTTTCACGGGCACTGGGGGTGGGAAGTGTGTGGAAGTAGGCATAGTCCAGTAAAGGCACCAAGTCAGTTTCAAACCTGCTGAATAGGAACCACAGAAAAATATTACACCCTGACCTAGCATCTCCACGACTCTCAGTGTGAACAACAAACTCTGGGGGAAGTACCTGGTGGTCCAGTGGTTAGGACTCTGTGCTTTCACTACTGAGGCCTGGGTTCGATCCCTGGTCAGAGAACTAAGGTCCTGCAAGCCACAGAGCATGGCCAAAAAAATCCCCAAAAAACAAAAGAACAAACAAAAAAAGCAAAGTCCGGTACATTAAAAAAAAAAAAAAAAAATCATTCTACATGTTCTGTCTTCATGAAAAAAAAAAAAAAAGACAAACAATAAAACGCTGGCATGAAATGGAGTTCATAACTCATGAATGGGTCTGATGTACATACAGCCTGAGCTGAGTCAGAGGAACCCGAGGCGGCCAAGGGGTGGCTGGGGCCTGAGCTGACACCTTGTCCTGTCACCCACTGAGGGTGCTCTGGGCAAGTCCCCTACCCTGACTGTGCCTGTCTCATCATTACAATGAGGAAGATTACAGTGCCTTCACTGTAGAACTGTCATGACATTTAAGTGAGTGAATGTACATAACAAGTATAGAAAATGCCTGACACACAGTATGACGTGAACCTGCAATGTAAGAGCAGCTGCAATATTATTTCTTATTATATGATTGCTGCTGTCACTTCACCTGGCCGCTCCCCATATGTCAAACAACACTCTGACGCAGTGTGAGCTGTCATCTCACATTCTGCCCTGGCGCTCATCTGGCCAGAGAGGCAGGGTGGGGGGGCGGTGCTAGGGAGACAGAGGGGATGGTGAGCACCTGCGGGATGGACACCAAGTTTTGGGGGCTGCCTCCCCTGCATTGCCACAAAGCCTCTGTGTCCTCTCGTTCCCCCTCAGTGGGAAGGTCTTCGTGAGGGGATGGGGCCGCGGCCCTCGGTGCAGCATCTGCCGTCTGGATGAGGTCCAGGTTTGGCCTGCCCCACAGCCAAACACCCTGGCAGCGGCTGCCTGCTGGTTCCCATGTCTGCCAGGAGCAAGGGGGATGGGGTAATGTATGTGGGGAGGGAGATCAACTTTGGGGGTCTGCCCAGCTGACATGCGTGCGAAGTCACTTCAGTCATGTTTGACTCTTTGCAACCCCATGGACTGTAGCCCATCAGGCTCCTCTGTCTATGGGATTCTCCACGCAAGAATAGTGGAGTGGGCTGCCACGCCTTCCTCCGGGGGATCTTCTAGACTCAAGGGACTGAATCTGCGTCTCTCATGTCTCCTGCACAGGCAGTCAGATTCTTTACCATTAGCGCCACCTGGGAAGCCCAGCTGATGACTGCCTCTTTTCCGGAAAGTCTTCCTTTGGGTCTTTCGGAAGTCTCCATCGTTTCCGCTGGCCTAGCTTCCTCTCCTTTTGCTGAGGAACTGGCTCTCGAGCACCGCTAGGTGGCTCTGACGGAACCACCAGTCACAGCGCCCTGCCTGCCCCGGGACCCAGGGTGGAGCATTCCTCTATCATCCGTGATGACAGTGACTGGCCTGGGGCGTGGGCGTGTGATCCGTGCAGAGCCAATCAGAGTTTTTCCCAGATCTCCAGCAGGTAAGAATGTGGAGGAGAAAGTATAAAGATGTAGAAGACTTGAGCAGCTTGTCGGTTTTCCCATGACATGGAGAGAGCTTGTTAGTCGCAGAAGAGAATGACAACCCACAATGCAAAAAGTGGCAGAACTAGCTGAGTGGAAGAGATAGGAAGACAGAGCTCTGGTGACATCATTTGAGTGCCTGGATGCAGCTATGCCTGAAGCCAGTCCTACCCCTGGACTTGCAGTTTCATGAGCCAATGAATTCTACCCCTGGCTTAAAAGTGGGCAGAAACTGGGAATTCCCGGGTGGTCCACTGGCTAAGACTCAGCCCTCCTAATGCTGGGGGCCTGGGTTTCATTCCTGGTTAGGGAATCAGATCCCACATGCTGTAACTAAGAGTTTGCATGCCACAAGTAAAGATCTCGCAAGCTGCAATGAGCCTGGCAGGCTCCTGTGTCTATGGGAGCCAAACTAATAAAAACAAACAAACAAAAAACCCCAGACAGAAGTAGATTATCTGCCACCTAAAACTTATAGAGACCTAATCACATAGGGTGCCCCGAACAGGCCTCGTTCCTTAGCCACAGCTGACCTTTATTCCAGGGGAAGACTCGGACCAAGCAGGGAAAAGGGGCTCCTCTATTCTGAATGGAAGAGGCAGGACTGGGATGTTTTGAGCCCATCAACAGCAGTGTCTGCTCCTAAGAGTGCCCAATTCCTGCCCTGCCTGAGACTTGCGGCCTTCATTCACCTTTCCACTCTGCAGGACACCTCATGATCCTGAAAGAATTGCCTACGGTTCTCGCTTTATTTTTTATGCTCACCTCCTTCAACCTTTTGCAAATGTCAGAATCCAGGGCTCTGCGGTCAGACCCACCGGATTCTAATCTTGGCCACTGATTCATACATGTCTCAGAGCCTTAGTCTTCTCGTCTGTAAAATGGGGAGACTGATGGGCTGGCTCTTGTGAGGCTGTGGGGAGGACTGAAGAAGGTGGAGCAGGGGAAGCGCTTGTTCACAGAACCAGGCACCGAGTAAGGGCTCAGCGATGTGAGTGGCTGTGACGTGTGTCATAGTAACATGAGTGACGAGACCTACCTCTCGGGTCCGGAAGATGATCCTGTACTGGTACTGAGGCCCGTGGTCCTTGTGGTCCTCCAGCTTCTCTCGCTTGATGCTCACGGCCACTGGCCCCAGCTTCTCGTCCACCCCAAAGTAATTGGCGTGCTCTGAGAAGGAAGAGCAAGGGAGTTCAGAGTCAGTTCTCTGGGAAGGAGGGGTGACGTCCCACGGCAGGCCTGCCGAGGGGACAGCCGGGGAAGGCTCTTGTGTGCCCTGTGGGGTCCTGGTCACACAAAGCCTGGTCGCAGCCACACTCGATGGAGAGACCATGAGAGGTCAAGCCCATCTTACTGCGCCTTCCTGCCAGTCACAGAAGTTTCCTGAGTCTCCATGCTCTCATCCAGGATAAAGTGGGCCATAGTGCTACCTGCTACCCGCAATTCATAAGAGGTGATGTGAGAGTGAATTGAAGCTACAAATAAAAAAAAAGCTTAGTGCGGTGCCTGCCTTATAATAAACTTAGCCTCTCGTTGTGATTACCTCGTATTTGCAAATGTTTAGCAGCTTAGCTGCCAATTAGCCCTCGTGAAGCTGTTAAGATTCTAGTCTTAAAAAAAAAAGTAAGATTGTAGTCTAAAGTGTCTTCTGCTTGGCTGAAATCTGGGCCCTGGACTCATCAGATGTGGCCCATGTCACTTGACAGCATTCTCATTAATATAATGGGATCAGGAAGGATGGATCCACATCTCACCATGACTGTGAGGATTAAATAGGTTAGTAAGTGTGGCGCACAGAGCCAGGCACAGAGGGAGCAAGTGAGATGTGTTGGCTACTACTACCCTCAGGGCATGATGCTCATCACAGAACAGGACCATAATTCAAGTCCCTAAGCATCACCTGTACCTAGCCATGCTCCCATAGATGGAGGAAACTTCAACACTACTCTTTTTTTTTCCTTATGGTGTCTGAGCTTTAACGAGTCATGGAGGAAGTCATTTTTCTCTCTCCGAAATGACAGCTGTCTCTGCTTTAAAAAAAAAAAAAAATGCTGCTGTCTTACAATCTTTCCAGGCAAACAGTTCTTCCTGTGTCTAACTCAAGTATCTCCTGCTTCTGGTGCATGCCCACCAGCAGTCTGTCTCAGCTTCAGTCCATGAAACTGGCACCTACACACTGCCAGAAATTTCTTCCCACTCCAGTGCTTTCCATGTTTAAAAGAGGGTTCCTAGTCTCATGAGATGCTCTTGGTGAATTAAAGGCTTATCTAAAGCTCAAATAACGTTACTTAATGGTCCCAATCAGAACAGCACCTGCAGTGGGTTAGACAATCTCCCCAACTGGTCAGAGAACAGAATAAATGTGCTCCACAGATATCAATCTATCCCCAAAACACTGGCAGGGGCTATTCTGTTTTCCACCAATGTATACCCAGTACCCTTGAATAGACTAGGTCCTTGAGGTCCTAGAATAGACTAGGCACTCAATAAACACTGACCAGTGACTAACATTTCTGAACTTCCAGAGCTACAAAGAAATTATTTTTTGAAAGAAAACAGCTCTTTTGAAAGCTCCATGATAAGTACTTACTACATGCCTGATGAAGAACTGAGTGTTTTGATGTACAGTCTTCTTTGATCCTTACCACAGACCTTCCGTGTAGGTATTGCTATGTGTTAAATGAAAAGAATGTGTTTTCTGCTGGTTAGGTAGAAAATTAATATAAATGCAAAACCAGATTTTTCAAGTCCCCTCAGCAGAATATTCTGGCCACTAGGTTTATACATTTCAAACAGAGACCCTGCCAACTTCTCCCATGGGTTATGGATTTGTTCATGTCTTCCTGTAGCCATATTAGTTTTTTATTTATATACCCCTCAACCAGGTTACCAGGTACACAACTATTAGAGCTTCTTGGTAAATTTTTAAAAAATCTACATGAAACGGTCCTTTTGGTTCTTCTAACAAATGTTGTTAGCCTTGAAGTCTGTTTCGTGTGATACTGATGTTGCCTTACCAGCTTTCTCTTGATTAGCACTGTCTGAACTTCTTTTTTCATCCTTTAATTTCCAATCTCTGTGTCACTTTTTTTTCTGGGCACATGACGCTGCTACAATCATCTCTGTTCCTCACACAAGGACAGAATCCAAGGGGTAAAATGTGTCACATAGCTAATAAGCTATGAAACATACATCCCAAGCCCAAGGCTTTCTGACTCCAACACTGGTGGAGCGCCAGAGACTGTACTCTAGACAGAGGGATAACCCAGAGGGATGACATTAGTTGCGTTTGACTAGGATACTGATTTACAAAAAATTTTAAATTAGTTGCTGTGGAGTACTAGCTGCCTATTCATTACCTATTCTTCCCTTCTTAAGAGAAACTCTCTGTTCTTGGGAGGAAGAAAAGAGAGTCTATGTCTTACCAACATTTCCCAGCTTGCCTTGCAGACTGGAGTGGCCAATAAACAGAAGCAGTTGGCTAAGACTTCTGAGAATGCTCTTCTTAAAAGGGGCTGACTTAATAAAAAGGTAGGGGAGGGGTGCTGACTTGACAGGAAATCTGTTATTCTGTCTGAATCCTTTCCTCCTTCTCTTTGCCTGGAAACATAGATATGATGGCTGGAACTCATATGCAGCCATCATGAGCATCAGGAGATCACTCTGAGGGCTTGGAGGCTAATGCACTAAGGCTGGCATTCCACTGATGCTGAGGAGTAACAATACCTGAGGTGCACATCTCTAGACTTTTTTATGCAGAGAAAAATAAATTATGTTGTTTAAGCCTGTTACTGGCAATTACAAGCAATTTTGAATTGACATAGGAGAATCCATATTCAAAAAATCTGAATTTCAGGAGAACCTAGAATTATCTAGATAATTATATTCTATAATTATCTAATTATAGAAAGGATGGCAACATTGGGTTGTCTACACTTCCTGGACGACAACAGTGAACAAGAGTTCCCCTCTGCACAGCCCCTGCCTGGCCTGCCTCCCTCTATTGTCTCCTGCCTGGCCTCTCTGGCTGCCTGGATTTGTGATCTTTGTACTATGCTCTGTTGCCTCTGAGGATTGCCTCATCAGCATCAGTGAGTTTAACCATGTGTGATCCTCATGTTAACACCCTCCAAACATCAGCAGCTCCACCTTCCGAGGGGATCCAGAACCTGCCTGCTTCCTCTTCACTCCTGGGCTCCCATCCTAGACCTGCCCATCACCATCTCCTGCCTGGACTATTGCAGTAGACTCCTCCTGGGTCTCCCTGCTCCTCTGCCCCTACAGCTTCCTTCCCCAGAGGGAAGCTATTAACACCTGAGTCAGATCAAGGCCCTCTCCTGCTCAGAATCTTCCTGTGGCTCCATTTCACTTCGGGTAAAAGTGAGAGTCCTCACTTTTGTGAGGATTAGGCTCACAAAATCGCATGTGATCTTGTCTCCTTTCACCTTCCATCACACACTCTGTCCCAGCAACACTGGACTCCATCCTATTCCCCCATTGTTCCAGGACTTTTGTACGTGTTTCCCCTGCTAGGAACAGTGTCTCCAATCTCCACAAGGTTCCCTCCCTCAGCTTCTTCAGCCCAGTACTCAAAGGGGACCCACCTAGAAAGTCCTCCCTGACCATTCCTTATTGAAAACGCAACCCCCAATACCGACAGTTTCCCTGCCTCTCTGTTTTACTTTTCTCTACTGCACTTCCCAACTCATGACTCCTTATATACTTTATATATTTACCTAGTATAATTGCTTGTCTTACCCCACTAAGACACTGTAAACTAGGAAGGCAAGGCTTTTGCTTTAAGCTGGTCAATACTGTATACCTTGGCTCTAGAAAGTGTCTGACACGTAGCTGAACGCAGCACATATTTCTATCTATTGTCTCCTACAGCTCAAAGTGTGAAGCATGTGTCATGAGGCGGGGCTCACTGCGTCCCCCCAGCCCCTCTCTGTAGGAGGTCTTGCCTCTTTCTGCATCCTCCCTGCCAGGGCAGGAGGCACACAGAGAAGGAATGAGCAGTGAGCGTCTCAGAAACAAGCAGTGCTCCACAAACCGACCCGCCCGCCCACGTCACCTTTGCCCACGAAGTAGTCCTGGTAATAGCGGGCGCCCAGGTCCGCGTGCTCGATGCTGTACTGCCGAGGGCGACTCTGCGTCCTCTGCTGCTCCTTGGGCACCTCCAGCACTGAAATGCTGGCGTTGGTGCGGTAGGCGCTCAGGGTGGGCTCCGGCGGGCGGACCTCGCCGCCGCCCCCGCCTCCGCCTGGGGAGCCGGCGGCCGCCCGCGAGAAGCTCACGTTGCGCTCGCACTCGCCGCCGATCTCATTGCGGAAGTGCGGGCAGCTGAGCAGCAGGTCGTTGCTGGTGTCGTCGCCCAGGTCTTGCTCCAGGTTCTCCTTGCAGTTCAGGTCCTCCGTGCTGGTGAAGGCGGGGTCCAGGCCGCCGAGGCTGTGGGCCCGCGACGCCGTCAGGGACGCCATGGCCGAGGCGGCCGAGGCCCCGGTGGTCGTGTTCCGCCGCTGGGCCGTGGACGCCCGGTTGGCTGCCGCCTCGTTGAGGTCGAACAGCATGCTCTGCACGTCGAAGTGGGCGAAGCTCTTCTGGCAGACCCACGGCCGGCTGGCCTCCGGGGGGCTCCGGCCGTCCTCGGCCTCCCCGGAGCACCGGGCCGCTTCGCCGTCGGCTCTGCTGCTCCGCAGCTTCCGGAAAATGGACGAGTCCACCTGGTCCCCGCCGCCCAGGCCTCGAGCGGGCTTCTTACGGGACTTCTCCTTCTCCTTCAGGGGCTGCAGCGGCAGCAGGCTGTCCTTGGCGGGCTGCCCGTTCCGGGCCTCCCCCTTGGCTGCGCCGCCGCCGCCCCCCGAGACGTGGGGACCGGGATCGGCCCGCAGGAGCTCGGTGAGGCTCGGCGTGCCCCGGGCCTCGGGCTGCTCGCTGCGGAACTCGTTGAGGATGTCGAAGAAGCTCTGCTCGGGCACGCCCTGCACGTCGATGGAGGACGTGCTTCCGTACTCGCGGAAGAGCGGCAGCGCCCCCGTGTGGCGGGCCGCCCGGGGCTCCGCCGTGTCCTCCACGTCGCACTCGCTGAGGGTGATCTCGCTGCTGCTGCGGTTCCGCAGCGGGAGGAAGGCCCGGCCGGGGGACCGCGGCCACCCATCCTGGAACTCCACATCCTTAGACCGCCTCCTGGCGAGTCGGTGCAAGGCTTTGGACCCTGAGGAAGCCGGGGTAGGGGTACCGGCGGGGGGCTGTCCGTTCTGTTGTACGCTCCTCATGGCATGGGCCGCCTTCGTGGCCTTCGTGCCATCTGCGTCCAGGCAGGGGCTGGGGTTGTTCTGTTCTCTCAGGGCCTCCCGCTTGGGCGGCCAGTCGGCCACCCGGGCGCGCACGCCCATCTTGGGCATGGCGGGGGTGGTGGGGCTGGGGCGGGTGGCGGCGCTGACCGTGCTCTCGCCCACAGGCTGGGGCACGCTGCCGTTTTGCACCCAGAACCCCAAGGGAGCGTAGTCCCCGGTGTGCGGCCCCGGCAGGACATCGGCCGCCCTGGCCCCACAGCCGGCTGCCAGGTCCACACCATCACTGGGGATGGGCCGATAGGTGGTCATAGTCCACGGGCACTGGAGTGCTGCTGGCCCCTGAAAGCTGTAGACTAACTTTATGGGGTCCCCTGGCCCTCAGCCATTGTTCAGGGCCACCAGTCCTAGGATGAAGGCTGCTGGCCCCTGAAGCCTGACGGGAAGGTTGTGAGCCTGTGGAGTCCAATTCTCCACCATCGCTGTGGACAGCAGTGCCTGGACAACCTCTCGAGGCAGGCGCTGTCCCCGGGCCTCCAGACTTGAGTGGGTCAGCAGGGCAGAGGGAGCAGCAGTTATGTGTGAGGGCCGGTGGGCTGCAGGGGGGCCTTCCCTGCCATGCTGTAAAGGGAAAAAAGAGGGAAGTGAGATGTGAGGTTACTGCTGCCACAGAATGACTTATTTTTTCAACTTATTAAAAAACAAAAACAATTTTTATTATGGACATTTTCAAACGTACCCAGAAGCAGAGAGAAGAACACTATGAGCCATCTCACCAGCTTCAACACCATTAACTATTTCTCATTCCTTGCATCTGTTCCCCCACTCCTCCACGTTGTTTCTGACAGGACTGCTGTTGTTCAGTCTCTCAATTGTGTCCGACTCTTTGCGACCCCATTGACTGTAGCCCGCCAGGCTCCTCTGTCCATGGTATTTCCCAGTCAACAATACTGGGTTGGGTTGCCATTTCCTTCCAGGAGATCTTCCCAATCCAGGGATTGAACCCAAGTCTCCTGCATTGGCAGGTGAATTCTTTACCACTGAGCCACCAGGGAAGCCTTTTGACAGGATATTTTAGAGTAAATCCCAGACATCAGGCCATGTCACCTATAAACACTTTAGCTTGTATCTCTAGGTGATAAGGCCTTCAAAAAAAATAACCACGATACCTTTATCATAGGGGCTTCTCTGGTAGCTCAGATGGTAAAGAATCTGCCTTCAATGCAGGAGAACTGGGTTTGATCCCTGGGTTGGGAAGATCCCCTGGAGATGGGAATGGCTACCCACTCCAATACTCTTGCCTGCGAAATCCGATAGACAGAGGAGCCTGGCAGGCTATAGTCCATAGGGCTGCAAAAGAATTTTACGTGACTGAGTGACTAAGACTTTCACTTTTTCACTTTCATCTTTGTCACACCCATCTAGATACATAAGAATTCTTTAAGGTCAGGTAATACCCCAACTGAATTACATTTTCCCCCCATCGTCTCAGAGTGTCTTTTGAGAGGTGGTTTGCTCAAATCAGGATCCAAACAATATCTTTGCTCTGCTCTGGCAGATTATATTTCTCAGGTCTCTGCTACTCGACACCTCCCCCTCCCCATCTTGATGATATTTACTTCTGGAAGGAATAGGGTCACTTGTCTCACAGAGTTTCCCACTTTCAGGATCTGCTGGCTATTCTCTGCAGTGTCCGAACATGTTCCCCTGCGCCCCCCACCACGAGTCCTGTCTACTGGTGGCTGTATGCAGAGGCTGCGCTTTTGTCTGTCTCTTCTCCAGTCCACCTGACCACTCACCCACCAGAAAGGAACTGAAAAAGATGGAGGAATCACCATGAGCACTGGTGGATTTTTTGGAGGAACTGTCTCTGGAAATCTACATGATTACTAGATAGTCTGAGAGCCAGTAGATCAATTCCCATCACTACTTCACTGAGATATCCCCAGTAGCTTCTGATGTATTAGAATAAAATCTAAATTGCTCCTGCTGGCTCACAGCCCCACAGGACTGGCCAGTCTCTCTGATGCCTCTCCCTAGCCCTAAGATCCCATCACACTAGTCGTCTTGTCTGTTCTTCTAACACATCCAGCCCCATCCGGGATACATGGGGAATACTTCTTCAGTTTTTCACCAGGCCGGTTCCCTCACTTGACATTCACTCTTTAATGAAGCCTTCCAAAACCACCCTCAAAGCCTTTCTCTGTCACCCTTTTCTTTTTCCTTGGCAGTTACCATTAACTGAAATTACTTTGCTCATTATCTATTTACTGACCATCTCCACCACTAAATGATCCCTTCCAGAATGGCAGGGGTGTCTCTCTTGTTCACTGATGTAGCCCCAGTTCCCAGAACAGTGTCTGGGACCCTCGTTCACTCTTTTAGTGTACGAATGAGCGAACAGAGAGCTTCTATCTAACTTGATGTGTATGTGCAACCTGACTTGCAGACCTCTGGGGAAGGGAAATTCATCCTTCTTCTGCCCGGCAACATAAAGTCTTCTGCAGGATCACTTCTGTTTGTCTCCACCTTGAGCTTCTGGAAGATGAAACCCTCAGTGGGGAAGGAAAGGGAAAGTGGATCATGGCCTGTGGCAAAACCTGCTGCTTGGCCCAGCAGCTGTGCCCTTTCCTCCTGCCAACTGAACCGACTCTCTACAGGGCGGCAGAGTGCTGGGTCAGCATCTGACTCAAGGGGACCGCAACTTTTCTGTCCCTTAGAATGTCGAGCTGGACACAGCCACTGTGGTCGGTGACTGTGCGTGCTTTCCGAGTGAGGAAGTTGAAGGCCTCCTGTGTGAGAGTGTGAGTGTGTGCTCACATGCACACACACGTGCAGGAAGTATTTCACAACTCCTGCCAGAGGTATGGAGTTAGCTGGCAGAGATGGAGCGAGCGGGAAGCATGAAGCAGATTCACAGAGCAAAACAGTGAGGAAAGCCTATGTGTGCTAAGTCACTCCAATCATGTCTGACTCTTGGACTCTGCAGTCCGCCAGGCTCCTCTGTCCATGGAATTCTCCAGGCAAGACTACTAGAGTGGGTTGTCATGCCCTCCTCCAGGGGATCCTCCCAACCCAGGGATCGAGCCTGCATTGACTGGCGGGTTCTTTACCACTGCGCCACCTGGGAAGCCTCCTAAGGGGAGCCTGTAACCTCTGAGAAAATGAGAATGAGGTAAGGGGAGAGGTGTGAAGTGGGGAGCAAAAGGGCACCCTCTTCTTGGTTCCTCAAGAGCACGAGAGCATTCCTGAAGAAGCTGCAGGGAGGTACACAGGGGAGGGGGTGGAGAAGGAGCGAGAAAGTGGAAACTCCCCAGGGCTGGGCTGGTTAAAGGAGATGGAGGCCAGGTGAAGCTGTGGTGACCTGGCCAGCAGAAGTGTCTTCTGAAGAGGTAGGTGGGCCTCAGCTCCTGCAACTGAGCCTTGCAGGAATGTGAATGCCTGATCATGGGGTTTTTCAAGACAAACCGGAAGTCTGGAACTGTATGCAACATCTCCCAGTTTGAAAAAACAAAATCAGCAGCTATGACAGCAACAAATTAATATGCAGAGATGACCTCTAAAAGGATTTTCAAGAAACCGCTCATGGTGATTGCCTCTGGGGAGGGAAATTGGGTATCTTTTTCCTCCACTCCCAGCCCCCTCCCTCCCCTGCTTCAGGTATTTCCCTTAGTACTGATTTCTCGGATTTATCCCTCGTCTTCCTCCCCAAAAGGATGTGAGCTACTATGTATCCCCATGCTCAGTCATGTCTGACTCTTTGTGACCCCGTGGACTGTAGCCCACCAGGCTCCTCTGTCCATGGGATTTCCCAGGCAAGCATACTAGAGGGGGCTGCCATTTCCTTCTCCAGGGGATCTTCCTGACCCAGAGATCGAACCCGCATCTCCTGCATTGGCAGGTGAATTCTTTACCACTGTGCCACCTGGGAAGCACACCAGGTGCTGCGTATCACCAGGATCTGCGTTTTTGAAGAAGGGGTGGGAAGGAGCCTTATTTTTCCCTGCACACTGCTGGCGACTGTTTGGATTACTTGCCTGTATTCCTAGTCAACAGAATACCTCTCAACAGTGTTACAACACACATCACCAGGAGGGCTGACAAAGTCAGCATGTGGGCCGAATTTGAGCAGAGGCTGCTGGTTTGTGACTTTACGTGACTGGTCTTCAGCTTTGCCTGCAATGAGGGCCTGAAGGCAGCCCCATACTCTGCTGGGCCCCAGGTCCCAGGCCAGGCTGGGGGTCCAGGCTGGCAGCACTTAGCAGCCTGGCCGTGTCCTGGGGTCAGCCTGACAGGGTTCAGAGGATCAGTCTTCAGAGGCCCCATTTGGGCTGGTTGGGAAAAAAAAACAGTGGCCGCGAAGCAACCCTGACTTGCTTATGCAAACACCTCTGACAGATGGGCTTTGCTGATGGCATTTTGTTCCCACTCAGTCAGAAACCCCCAATTCGCTTTGCTCTGTGAAAACACACAGATGTTCTCGAGGCCCCAGTCTCTCTGCACAAATCCCTCCCTGAGCAGGTGCCGCTGCGTCTCCCCGTGACGTTCCCAGACTGAGTGTGTGATCCCTGCAGCCTCCCTGGGACTCAGGGACCAGTGCACATGGGTCCCGTTCCAGCTGCCTTTGTCGAGCTCCCTCTGCTTAAAAGCCCTCTGATCACCCTGACGGGGATGCTCACAGCCTGAGCGCCAGCCTGCCTGGGTTCAGATACTGCTGTGCCATGGACTAGTCACTGAAACCACGGCTCAATTTTAATCTGTAAACTGAGGGTAATACCCTCTAGCTCAGAGTCCCTGCTATTATCACCATTCCTTCGCATTTCTTTGGCAGGAGCTCTTCCCCCTCCCCCAATGACAGAAGTGCATGGGGATGGGGGTGTGGGTGGGGTGGGGGTGGGTACAGGACCTTAGCAGAGCATGAAAGGCTGGAGGGTGTCCTGCAGTGATAGGGAATATGGATCTGGCTTTTCCGGCATGTGAGTTGCAAGGGATGCTTGGGTTCTTTTCTTTTTTTAAAAAAAATATGTACTTGTTTACTTGGCTGCGCCTAGTCTTAGTTGTGGCACACAGGATCTTCAATCTTCACTGTGGCATGCAGGATCTTTTAGTTACAGCATGTGGGATCTAGTTCCCTGACCAGGAATTTAAACCCAGGCCCCTGGCACTGGGAGCATGGAATCTTGCCACTGGACCACCAGGGAAGTCCCTGGGATCCTTTCAGGGTTGCTTGGCTCCTGCCTGCTTTCTACGACTGCCCCTCTGGCCCCCTTTTGATTCTTTGAGGCACGATAAATCTGCTTCTGCCCAAAACT